ATAAGTAAAAACAAAAATTGTTTCTGCTAAGCTTATAGAAACTTTTTAATTTGAAGACTAACTGAAATGTGCTAACATCAAGAAATTGAACTGTGCACCAACATTGGGTGGACCAGTATTAAATAGTGTTACGGTAGGTGACAGCCTTAGAATGTTAACCCTAGTCCTGTAGTTCAAAAGGTCGCTTTTCTCACCTTTGCCCTCGCGAACTAAAGCACAGTGTCAGAGAGATCCAAAGACTGGCCAATGGCATTTTCAAGTGGTAAAATAACAAGCGATGTCAGTCTCTTGTTTGCCATCGTTGATCGAAGATATGTTCTAATGAGCCTGAGCTTCGAAAAGCTGCGCTCACCAGTCGTGCCTGTGACCGGCAGCGTGAGCAGACTCATCAAAGTTACCCACACATTAGGAAAAGTGTCCTTCGGCTCTGCATCAGGAACGAATTGGAGAACTTGGAATGGAAAGTGCTTCCTGTGTGGCAAAATGTGATGGATTTTGTCCAATTCAACATAGAGGTCTTTATCATTGATGTCCGAACATTCCCCATGTGTCAGCGTCTTATATACTGGCAAGGGCATAGCTGACAACATTCCAGGAGGTTGGAGGAAAATGTAGTTCTCAGAAAGTCAGGAAGGTTCCATAATATTCTACAAAGGTCCAGAACATTCTAGGAGGTTGGTGAAAAATGAATCCTTATACGGAATACCTGCAACGTTACTTCAAACATTCTATTTTCCTTTTTGTTGCTAACAACAAAAACAACACCCCCAAGCCCAGCACCCCACGGCCCCTAACTCCAGCCCTGCTTTCACGTTTTCACCTAGCACATGGTACATGAAATAGGTGGCATGATGGCAAAGGGAATTTCATGTTGACAAATGCACACTGAAAGAAATAATTTGAAATACTTGTGCACTTTGCAGGATTCTAGATTAAATGTCACCTCTCAAACAAAAAGACCTGGAAATCATTATAGACAGTTAAATGAAACCCTCTGCTCAGCGAGCAGCAGCAGTTTAAAATATCAAACACAATGTTAAAGTGCATAAAACCAGGATAGAAAATCATATGGAAAATATTATAATGTCATGATATAAATGAATGGTACACCCTAATCTGAAATACAGCAATCTGCCTACCTACTTCACTCTCAGGATATACCAGGAATAGAGGGGTTCAGAGGCGGACAACAAAAATGTTTACTGGTAGAGAGACACTTCCTTATGGAAAAAGATTGAATAGATTGTAACTGTATAATTTATATATTAGATGAATAAGAGATGACATGATCCAAGCATATGAAATAATGAATAGCATAAAGAAGGTAAATCAGTGGTCCTGTTTATGCTCGCTCTTCATACAAGAACAAGAGGACATTCAGTGAAACTGAGGGGGCAGCAAATTTAAATGGATACAAGGTAATACTCTTCTTTTTTTTTTAACACCCAGTGTATAATTAGCCTATGGAACTGTGACAAAGTGGGAATGTTCTTAATGTTTTCTCTGAATACTATGTGTGTGTGCCTCAGTTTCCCCTATGTGTTGCACAAGTATCTAGGTGGTGGGGTGAGGGTGTGTGATTTCTGAGACTCCTAGCAGGCAGGTGTGACTGCTGACTGGCTGACTAGGCACAGAGAATGGCTGACACTCTGTATCCTGGCAGCTGATGGCCAGAGCCCATCCTCTGCAAGGAGCCAGCCGAAGGTGTTGGACAACAAAGAGAGGGGGGGAACAGGTGACCGGTTTGCCCAGGAAAGAGACAAAGCATGCAGCTGGGCATGACTGAAGCTGGGTGGTTAGAAGCGAGTCAGTATCCTAGTTTGGAATTCAGGGCGGGGGGAGCCCTGGGCTCTGGATCTCCCCAAGGCGGATTTTGCTGAATGTTCCTAATTTCTGTGCTAACAAGGTCTGTTTTACACTGTGTTCCCAACGACTAATAAACCCTTCTGTTTGCCAAGCTGGCTAAGAGTCACTGCTAACTGCAGAGGTGGGGTGCAGGGCCCCTTTGGGGGAGTGTGTAGGGCTTCCCCAGGTGTCCCATCCAAATGGACTCACTGCAGGGAGCTCATGGTGTGAACAGGGGTGCTGAATGCTCAGAGGTCAGATCCAGGAGGTGCTTGCCCTGGTGAAAGTGTGCTCTGCAGGGGGAGAGACTACCCTAGAGTCCTGTCTGACTTCATTCAGAGCACCGAGCCTGTGACTCCGTGACAGCAACTCACTGCTCCAAGATACCTTTGAGTCAAGGAGCTTAGTAGGTTTCAGGAACGGACTAGGCATTTATCTAGATGGTAAGAGCAGCCACAGTTACATAAGGCTTCATATATTTTTCAGAAGAAATACTAAACCCTCAGACCAACCACTAATTGATGAGGGTAATGAAGAACCTTCCCCATCAGCAGGTTATTCCAGAATTGCTCACTAAGGGGTTTCTTGCATGTTCTTCTGAACTATTGGCTATTGCCAGAGATAAGATCCTGGATGGGCTGGACCATCGTTTTGCACAATTCCAGTGTTTCTTCACCTTCTATACATCTGCGTCCTTCCTTTTTCCTTGAGCCAAACAAGCCCACTGCTATCTGGCTAGCCCTTCCTGCTTTCCTGCCCATTCCACCAAGTCCCAAAATAGTCTGACACATTCAAGGCCCAACCCAGCAGGTCTAGAGCATCACAGCTCTAGCTACCATTTCTTGACATCAGCCTCACTTCTCAAACAGTTGTTTGGGGACTGCAACAGTTTCTCTGTGTCTTCGGCTTCAGTTCTTGTTGAGAACCATCTTCTTACATCTAGTTCCCAGGCTTGATACATGTCAGGAACTAGCATCAAGGATAAGTGGGTGACAGAAGGAAGATGTATTCCTAGGGAGGCTGGGGATGGGGGAAAGCAGGTCAGACTGGGCTTGGTTGCAGAGTCTCAACTAACTCTTTCTTGGCAGCCAAACCTTTCCCGTTCTCCCAGGTAATTAGTTGTTAAAACACTCACTCATCCCCAGGAGTGTGAGAGACTTTAAATCACTTTTGTCCTTATCCATTAGCCTGTAGTGATATTCCCCCCACCACCACCCTTTCCATGTTTGGAAAGGAACTGAAATTAACCAGTGTTTAACAACACTGCCGACTTATGGTAAAGCATCATTCCTTCACAAAGTATGGAGAGACATCAGCACAGCTCTGGGAGCGATGTCAGCTGATTAACTCCCAATGTAAGTTAACAAAGGGAGCACAAACCATTGCCTTGATGTATGTGCTAAACATTCTTAACTTTAAAAAAAAAACAAACAAAACCCACACACATTCTCAAAACTGGAGCTATGTAGAATCTTTCCTAAGTAACTAATACTTTGGAATGGAGTTAAAAAAAAAAGAAGAGAGCATCTTTCTTAATCTCCTCTTTGAGGTCCATACTGACGATACACTCAAATATTTCCAACACTCATACATTCCTCAAAGGGTTTTACCCGCATCCTAGTTATGGACCCCACAATCAAAAGTTTCCAAAGCTATTTTTGCTAAATTAGCCACATTAGCTTTTCCTAAAACACCATATTGTGTAATAGAAGGATTTCATATGTTCCATCCATGGGGATCTTTAATTACAAGAAACAGTTATTTTTCTCTTGTTGCAACCATCGGTTTCAACTCATTCTTTATTTTTTGCCCTAAGGCAAAGAAGTCTCTATTAAAGTGGTGGAGGCATTAAAGAGTGCATCTTTTGCTAAGCCAGCATGCATAGACATCCTTGCAATGACAGATCTTGCAAGATTGTTTGGTATACAATCATGCACAAGGCTTAACACCTTCAAGTCCAGCTGATCTCTCACTAGTAGATTTTAGGTTTGTATGGTAACTGATCCACAGTACGGCGTGCTTTGGCACCTAAAATAAAGGGCAGATGTGCTGTATTTTACAGTAAATATTTTACTACCATGCCAAATGGAATGTCTGATAGATGTAAACAGAACTTTTTTTTTTTTTAAGATTTTATTTGTCTAACATGCTTGACAAAAAAATTACAACATCAAGTTATGCCAAAATGATTAAATAACCTTTAAGCTTTCATGCCGCAAGTCTTTTAATGATAACCTTTAAAGTAACAGCTGCTTTCAAATAATTTTTTCACATAAAATACATAGTATTTTGAAGATACCTTAGGAAATTTTTTTTGTTAAGAGCATGTTTTATGGTTGACATAGAAATATTGTTGCAGCTAATAAAAGCTCCCCCCCTTAACATTTTAGTAACAAGTGCTGAGAGTGAATGTAAACATTTCAGACTTCTTTAACATACAGCCAGTTTCCTGCCACACTTGTTTCATAAAACACTTGAATTGTGACTGGTTAAGACACTTTTAGTCTAACGACACACTATCATTTTTCTTTCCATTGATGGTCGAAATCAGTAATAGGCTATTAACTTCCAGCCCTGCTGATGTGGGCTGATCCTATAACCCTTACACAAACAGTTCTTGCAAAAATAGTCCCATGTAAATCTACTGCAGACCACTCATGTGCATATAAACCATTCACATAAGAAAGGGTTACAGGATGGGACCCACTGTTTGCTTTTTAGTTTCAGCAAGGAGCAGCAAACCATGTTAGGTCCTAATTCACTGAACAGCTTACAAGAAATGAGAGCTTTGTGGCATGTCATGTTTTTGGGCATACCAGTTTGGATAAAGTTACTAGGCTCAAACTTAATTGCTTCCCAGCACCAGGTGGGGGAAGAGTTTTTGCACATATGAAGCATTGGAAATGAACCTAGTGTCCCTCCCAGATTTGACTTTGAGGCTCAAGCTTTCAGAAATAGTGGCCCTAGTTGTGCATGTGAATAATGTACATACAGCTGCTACATGCAAAGCTCACATTTATGAGGGGGGAGGGATAGCTCAGTGGTTTGAGCATTGGTCTGCTAAACCCAGGGTTGTGAGTTCAATCCTTGAGGGGGCCATTTGGGGATTTAGTTGGGGATTGATCCTGCTTTGAGCAGGGGGTTGGACTAGATGATCTCCTGAGGTCCCTTCCAACCCTAATAATCTATGATTCTATGTCTTCACATTGAGTGAGTGTGTGTGCAAAAGGGCACTAACATGCACAATTACATAATCTGTGTGTGCAAATGTGGGCTGGGTACATGCATGTTTTTTTTCTCCAGCATCGGTGTCTGAATGCCTCACCCATGAGGTTTGCCTAACGTGTGTGAAGGTTATTTAACACATAGAGCCTGTTAGTACCACAATTCTGAAAATCCATATCCAAAGTATCATACCCAGATAATCGCAGTTAAGGCAAGAGGTCTCCTTTTGCTTTCTTTGAAGTTGGAGAAATTGGGTAAGGTCAGGACAGAGGCCCCTTTCATGGTTTGCTTTTTAAAGTGAATGTTTGGGCTAGTGTAAAGTGCTGGAATGAAAACTCTGCCAACTCAACTCCTCTGTGAATCCATAGACACAGAGCATGAGCAGTGCTAGTTCTCACATCTGGATGGGCTGTATCTAGGGGTTAAAAAAGATTTCAGTCGCCTGGGTTCATTTAGTTCTTGGTCTCTACTACCACTGTTCACAAGGAGGCAAATGATGGGGCTTGTGATGTGGACACCTGTGCTGGACGAATTGCAGTGAGCTCGCCATTCATTTCACCCATGCTGCTGAACAGCTATTAGAAGGTAAAGGGCCATCCTTGGGGTAACTCCATCAAAGTCAGGGGCGTTAACCCAGGGATGAATTAGCTCAGACTTTTAATCATTCCCAACCTGGGCCAGATTCAAAGCAGTGGCCTTATGAGAGGCTGCCCAGCCCTTTACCAGTTCTTTAAACCAAACAGTCCCGCTAGGCTACCTTTTAAAACCACTACTGAACATCACAGCTTTTCTATTTTATGTTAAATCCAATCACAGATCAGCTCTCATGTTAAACCACATGGAACTCTTTAAAGAAAAAAAGGGAAATGACATTTTTCAGAGCTTACAAATGCCTGAGTTTGTACTGCATTTAACACCATCTTCCTTCTAGAACATTCAGCTGTTTACCACTCACTGGCAGTATGCACCATTTCCTCTTCCATCTGTAATGCCAGATGTGTTGCGACTGCATTACAGAACAGCGATTAGGACCTTCTCCTGCACTGGCTTTGAAAGCATGCAAGGGCACAAACTTCAGAAGGATTTGCAATAATAACTGGCTTCTTTTAACTGGTTCAATACAGTACTTGTGTATTCCTGTACTCTTTTCATATTTGCCATATTATTCAGCAAAAATATCAACATGATTTGATTTTACCAAATACTCATTGGAAAATATTTTAAATGGTTACACCCTAGTCTAAACATTCACGTTTAAACTGTAAACATTCTTTAAGAAACACACCTTTGAAAAGACTTTATACTTTTAATAAGTTCAATATATGGTAGATACAAAAAAAAACCCAGTTCCCTGCTCGATATATACGTGGAATGCATTCACTTTTGTGTATTCACAAGTATTTTAATGCTGAAATTTTAAAGTCCTTAATCGGCTTCTGGCAGATATTGGCACTAAAATGTCTTTGCTTCCCATTCATTTTCATCACTCAAATTTGGTTGTGAAGAATTAAAAGAAAAAAAAAAAAGGGTCTTCGCTTCTTCATTGAACAGTTCATCATCATGTTTCTTAGCCAGCAATAGAAAATTGCTTGTGTGATGGGTACATCATTAAATTCCTATAACAATCATGTGTTCCTTGGAGTAGGTAAGTCAATAACTATAGGTGGATTGAGAGGCTGGTAGTTCACAGTGCACACTGACGCATTCACATAGGTAGTAGTTCCATCAGCCATTACCCCATAGCCTACAAAGAAAACAAGTTCTAGTTACTACTATTATTCACTCATATATTGCCACAAATGGAAGTGTCATTGAATAGTGCTACATCCAAACGCTCAAGGATTTAACAGGGCCATATTCTGCTCTCTGTCATACTAGTGAAGCTTCCATGAGAGTAGTAATAATACCTGTGTAACAGAAGAATTTGTGCATCCTTTTAGATTGTAAAAGAAAGCCAAAGAGAACTCTCCAGCGTGTACACGTAGCGTGATATTGTAGCCACTGAAATGTGAAGTCTTCACAAAAAAGTTTAGTAACTTTAATATTTCTCTTTGAAAATCAGTTTTAAAAAATATTCTCTCTCCCGTTTTAGAAGAGGGTGGGAGCTAGGCTGTACTTCAGGCTTTAACACACTCAAATCTCTTATTTGTTGGAAATCTCACATTCAGAACTTGTCGAAACCGTCACCTTTTGGGGCTGATATTTCCTAGGCTTGGTTTCTGCTCAAAGATAATTTTTTGTTTTTTTTAAAGAAATGTTGAGTGAAACATTTTTGGACTTATGGAAAAATGAACATATTTTTTCCATTATAAAAGAATTCTAATCACTTACGAAAAGAAAAAAAAATCAACTGGGCTTCAGCAAAACCAGCAGAAGCATGAAATCCGCAACTTGGCATGGATATAGGTATGCCATGGCTTAGCATGAAAAAACTCGGTTTGATGTCAAGGTTTGAATATCTGAAAACTATGTGCTCACTAGAAACTGTCTTTAATGGGCTCTATCCTACTGCCACTGAAGATAATGGTGACACTCCAAATCCCTTCAGTGGGAACTTGATTGGATCCAATGTGTGTTGTTGTACACTTAAACATACTAGAGAAGTTCTAGGCATGTATATGTAATTACGTAAGTGCCTGACTGAGCTCCCATTGAAGTCAATGGCAACACTCCCATGTCATGTCTACACTGCAGTTGGGAGTGAGCCGAATAAACAGTTGCACTAGTGGGGCTTAAGTGAGTGCACCAAACACAGCAGTGTGGCTGTGGCAGCTCAGGCAGTGGTGACCTGACCCCCTGAGTCTGAGCTCGCTTGACTGGTTGAGTGTCCACTGGAGCCACACCATCCACACTGCTATTTTTAGTGTGCTAGCTCAAGCCAAGCTGTCTACTTGGGCTGGGAGGCTTGCCCCCCGCTGCAGTGTAGACATACCCTCATAGACGTCAGTGGGGATTGAGTCCAGCCTATGTACACTCTCTTGGGTCACAAACTCCATGAAATAACAGCAGATTCTTTTATTTTCTTTAAAAAGTCAACAAACTCAATGCTACAAACTGTGGGTCCAACTGCGGTCTGCTCATGGAAAACCATACAAGAAGAGTACTTCAGCAAGGATGAAAACTCTGTCAGGTTCCTGTCATGGAGATTTCTCCCAATCATTTGTGGTTTGACACAGAACAATCGTTGGTTGTGAAACATGAACCACAGAACATAAACGTGAATTGCAGTTAACATTGCTAGGGGAAGCTTCAGAATGTTCTCTCTCCCTCTCCAAGTTCTTAAAACACCCAATCACCATGGTACCCAGATACTAAAATGTTAATTTTTGTGCATGATTTATAATATTGCACTTTTCATTCCTATCATGGAGACTCCTGTATCACGACCCCACCTGAGCCCTGGCAGGAGCATGGGAAATAGGATTTTAGATGACATTACTGTAGGCTGCCTGTCATGGTGACAGGTGGGGCATTTTTGGCAGTAGCAGCAGTTCAGAGGAGGAAATGGGGAGGAAACAGTCAGTTCTTTATTCCTCCTGGATATTTAGCAGATGACGGCTGTAGATGTAGCTGTGTTTAGTCAGGGGAGGATATCATCTGTTCATACCATGCACTCACTTTGCAAAGAGCACATTCATTTGCAGAGGCTGTCTATGAGAACTTACTTGGGAATTCTTCTCTGAGGAGTTTTACCATCCCACAGCAAAACAGGCTTGGCAGTTTCCCATTTGTTTTCTCTGAATTATGATAGTTTACAAGAACTCCCTGTCTCTTAACTCTGCTACGTACTGCGACTGAAATGGTAACTGAAATAAGTTACCATTCTTTGAGAGTCAACAGTTTTTTCTTTGGTGAGCCAAATTCAGACATGGGGTAAGCAGATGCAACTCTATTTACCTCACAGGAGCTTACAACAGGTCACTTACACCAAGTTTAAACTTACTTGGCCTATAATAAACTAAAGGGATAATGTCAATTTTAAAATGGGTTTTGTCTGAAAATTGTTCACACACTGTCTTATAAGTAACCTCTAAGACTGTTGTACCTGAAAGTGATCTAGAGAAGAGTCATTCTCTCTGTGCATTCAATTTGTTTACTTTGTACATTTGACAGCACTTTAGAAATCACCTAGTGACAGCCTTATCATCGCAAGGAATAGGCAGTGATTGTACTCCAGGCTGTACACCTTGCAAGATATGAGTAAACACCATAAGATGTATTCTTTCCCCTTTTCTTTGATTGTTAATATGATCCTACTACCATTGACTTCAATGGGAGCAAGACTGATCCCAGTTAATGATTTATAAGAAGGGAGTTCATTTTCCCAATTGAATGCCAAATGGTTGAGAGAACACCCTTGGTGGGTCTGTACACTGAACATTTAACCTGTTAAAAAAAAATCTTACCCCCACAGAGCCAGTGATGACTCCCTAGTGCTCTGACACACACACTCACACAAACACTGAAGAAACGATAGTGTCTCAGGTTGCTGGAGAATCCTGAACTCGCTGATGAAGAGATAATTTGTGCATGTACCATGTATTAGGATGAAGAGTGGGAGGAACCTCTAGAGTTTTATGGAGCCTCATTTTAGCTTTGTATTTATTTAGACCCTTCTAACCCAGGATCTCAGTAATTAAACCTTAGAAATCCCTAAGGATTTTACAGAGAGAAAGTGAGATGCCGAGAGATTACATGATTTCCCCAAAGTCACACAGTGATTCAGTAAGGAGCCACAAATAGAATCCCGCTATCCTAACTTGTAGTCACCTAGTAGACCTCTACCCTTGTTTTGAACCAACTGGATCAGTAGTTCATATGGAACTGTAGGTATAATCCCCGTTTCACAGATATGGAAACTGAAACAGAGATGCCAAGGCCCAAATATTCATACTTGAATGTTAGACACTCATATGCATCTTATTCACCTAAACAAGTGGCCTGACTTTCAGAAGTGTCCGTTAATTTAGGTGCCTATCTTTAGCAACTCAAGTTTGAAAATGTTGGCCATACTGTGCAGTGACTTGGGTGCAGTTGGTTTTAAAAATCAGAGAGAGACAAGCTTGCTGACCTTCATGGATATGTCCAAAAACATGAAGTCGTGGCTGTATTCGTCTCTGGACTGTGTTCAGCAGCTCAACACATCCTACCCTCTGCATTTTCTTAGGAACCCAGTCTAGAAAACCTTTGAAGAAGAAGAAAGATTAATAAACATAGATTTAAAAGGAGAGAGAAAGGAGTCACGTTATCTGTGAAACTTTATACCTGGAAGATGCAAAATCATTCCTGGATTTTAACATCTCTCTTAGTTTCTAGTAAGTGGCCACAGAATAATCTATTAAAATGAACATCTTTATTGCTCAGTGGAGGGGGAATGAAAAATATTTGAGGAATGAAAAAACAGTTGATCCAAAGGGATGGGATTAGTTATTCTTGCCAATATTTCCTTTTTAAAGGAAAGATCGTTGCAAGAGATTTTAAATTAAAACCAATTAAACCATATTTGCTCTATTTAAGGCAAACACTCTAAGTTTTATCCATCCCTGCTACATTTTAAGAAGCTTAGAGCAAAATGTTCAAAACTAGTGCCTAAAGCTAGGCCTCTAAACCCACATTTTGGCTTTTAAATCTAGAGTCAGGGTCTAATTTTAAGCACTGAATATTTTGATTTTAACTTATGTAACGTCTTTGGTGTTGCTAATTATTAAACCAAAACATACTGGCATTGAGGGTTAGATATTTCCATTTTCATACATTAAAATGATTGCCTACTACATCTGCTTGTAAAAATATTTTTCTTTCCCCCTAGAAAATGTTGACTTTTTAATTAAAAAAACAAAAATGGTTTTGGTTTCCATTTTTTTTGTTTTGTTTTTGCCTGTATGAAAAATTCAAAAATTTTCAAGGAAAGCAGGCACTTTGTTAAAGTTACATTTAGTTGCAAACCCAATTTTTCCATTAAAAAAAAATTACAGTTTTCTTTACCAGCCCTATCAGCTACTTCAGAAAGCAGAAATAACAGCAAATCTGAACAGAGAGCACTAAAAATACTCTTTTATTAATGGCACCAAAGTGTTAAAATGATACTAAAAACTGTATCCACATCTGTACCAACAGGAGACTGATCTAACTCCCAGTTAAGTCATTGGGACTTTCCATTGACCTGATGGGACAAGGATCTGGCTCCAGATGATGGTCTTGGTTGGACTGGAGGCTGGAAATTTGATTACAATTATCATATTTTTAAATATCCAAGACTATATGGCAGATCTGAACATGGGCCCATATTAGGTGGGGGAATGAGCAGAGACCCCCCCTGCAGCAGGAATCCCTGGAGGCGTTGTGGCTGAGTTGGTCTGAATTCCTGAAGAGCCTGTGGGAGCACATGCCAGGGCAGAAAGTCCAGTATTCAGCAGCTGAGCTCAACTGGCAAACACAAAAGGATAGTGGGGCCAGAATCCAGCCCTCACCTTGTTGCTTTTGGGAAATCTCATGCAACTGCCAGGATCATTGTACCTCCTCCCAAGGTCTGTGCTGGCCCCTTTGCAGAGGCATGCATGTGTGACTGTTGTATTTACCTGTATGGGATGCAGGGTTTTTGTTAAGGTTATTTTACAATGAAACCTAAATGCCCAGTCTGGACATCAAATTGTATTTATAAACGAACGTCATTTCAGAAGGGATGCTAATTGTTCACTAAATCATGGTACTTTCTTCAAAGCGATAGTGTAACCTAACCAGGATGCAGGGCCGCCAAGAGCGGGTTTGGGCCCCGGTGAAAAAATTTTTTCGGGCCCCCCCCCAGCAAGGGCGGACTGGCTAAACAGGGCCAACGAGGGGGGGCGGGGCAGGGCCCCAGGTCCCCTTCCGGACCGCCGGGCCCCAGTAATTTGTAGCGGCTTCTCCCCCCTCTCGTCGGCCCTGCCAGGATGTGACACTTGAAGTGTGAAAACATCATCTCCTGTATACCTGTGTGAAAGATGGAAGAGCAAAGAGTCCAGAGTTGTGCAGGGAAATGCTATTCTGCAGTGCACATTGGAATAATTTAGTTAATTTCTGTTGGTTTGGAATGATCTAATTGTTTTGTGTTGCCACATCTCTGCCACTATCATAAGATGTTGCCTTCAATTTGGGGTACCTAAAACATACACAATTTTGTACTATTCTTTAGATTTATTTTTCCTTCCGTTTGCATTATGTGCCTATTGCACATTTCCATAGGTACATTTCAAGGGTGTTGTGATATATTGCATATATAAAGGGCTGAGAGAATAAGGATGAGCCAGAGACATACATGTACTGGATGCAGTTTTCAAATTATGGTACGGGGGCCTGCTCCAACATGGCTAACAAGGAGTTAAGCCATTTATTTCAATGAGACCAGAAATGGAGCACTCAGTTGGAAGAGCGCACTGCATGCAAAATGGATATATACCAGCCTAATGGCAGATTCGGACACCCACATGTTTGCATTTCGGTGCCTATTTTTAAAAGTTGGTCTTGGTATATTTTAGGGTTTTGTGACTAAGGGTAAAATTTTCTAAAATGAGTAAATGACAGGTTCAAAAGTCCCATTTTTAAGAGTGACTAAGGCACTCAGAAATCTCTCCTTGAAAGTCAATGGAATCTAGGCTTCTAAGTGCCCAAGTCCTGTTTAAGAAAGGGTATTTTTGAAAATGTTATCCCAGGTCTTTTGGTGTATATATCTTCACAGAAAATCCAGTTACATGCAACTTAATTACAGACACCGATGATCCTCATTAAACTCTGATATTTGACTCTGCTAGTCACTTTTGTCCTCTGTCAGTTTAAAATTTATTCCAGGAAATAATAGCAGTTCCTTAACACGTCAAAATGAGCTGAGAAATTGTATCTTTCAGAATCCAGTTCAATCTCTTTTTCATACCAAGCAGATTATAACCCAGGTTTTTGTTATTTCAATGGTTTGAAACAGTTAATTGTCAAAACGTCTGTGGTGAACATGAAGGCAAAGGTATTTCCACTTCAAAAACTTTACAAACAAAAATTCATGAAATTAACTTCTCCATTAAATTAAGCATTATTTATGTTGAACATGTTTTTGTTTACATGCATTATCACCCTTCTGAATCCTTCCCATATGTTTGCTGCTTATTATATACACCTGACTACACAAACTAAGAATAATTGATTACACCTAGCTAACAATTAGAGTTCATTTTAGGGATTTTTTTATGTTTGGTTATTTGAAACAGGTTTCTGCAACTGTCAGGAAAGTATAAATCTTTGTCACAGACAATCACGCAGACAGCTACAGATAAAGACTTAAAGGTGAAATGAAATCAATTAAAAAAAAAAAAGAAAGAAAGGAAGAAAAGGAAAGAATGCTTGATGAGAAGCCAAAGAATCCTTAACTTAATTCTTTATACGGTAGGAAACTGACTTTTTAAAAAAATGAAATTAATACATATTCAAAAGAAACTTATTTTTGCTGTAGTATTTTTATTGTATTTCCAATATGACCTAATCAAAGGTAAGTGTCTCTCACACTGCTATATATTATGACCCAGTAATATATGGTATATCCTCATTAACAGGTGGCTGAGTACAATGACTGCAGATAATTGTAAACTCTTGGGGAACTGTCTTCCCAATATGTGTGTACAGTGCCTGGTACAAGGGGAGCACATATCCTGATTGTGGCATCTAGGCACTACCACAATGCAAATAATGAAGAATAGTGACTCTGAGTAGGATTTTCAGAAGTGCCTAAGTGACACAGAAGCACAATTCTGTTCAAAGTCAATGAAACTTGTGCTCCTGAATCCCTTTGGCACTTTTAAAATCTCACCAATTTATCTCTGTAGTTCTGTAACATCAGTTGATCAAGAGGGTATTTGTTCCCCTACAGGAAGGGGATGAATAGGGAGAAGAGAAAAGTGGATGGTGGGCAGAATTAAGACATACACTTAAGGGAAAAAGAAAAGGGGAGAAGAAAGGAGGACATGATTTCATGAGGCACCAGCTCAAAAGGGGATATAATCAGTAACAGGACTCAACCTGAGAGGCCACATTGCAGCACCCTCTCTTGGACCACATACAGAAGAGGGTAGTTGTCCTCTGAGTCATTAAACAGACAGGAACCACCTATTACGGGAGTCTCTAAACCTAATAAAAAGAACGAGGAGTATTTGTGGCACCTTAGAGACTAACAAATTTATTTGGGCATAAGCTTTCATGGGCTAAAACCCACTTCATCAGATGCATGCAGTGGAAAATACAGTAGGAAGATATATATACACAGAGAACATGAAAAAATGGGTGTTGCTATACCAACTCTAATGAGACTAATCAATTAAGGTGGGCTATTATCAGCAGGAGAAAAAACTTTTGTCGTGATAACCACATCAGCCACACCATCAGAGGCTCGTTCACCTGCCAATGTGATATATGCCATCATGTGCCAGCAATGCCCCTCTGCCATGTACGTTGGCCAAACCGGACAGTCTCTACGCAAAAGAATAAATGGACACAAATCAGACATCAAGAATTATAACATTCAAAAACCAGTCGGAGAACACTTCAACCTCCCTGGTCACTCAATTACAGACCTAAAAGTCACAATTCTTCAACCAAAAAACTTCAAAAACAGACTCCACCGAGAAACTGCAGAACTGGACTTAATATGCAAACTGGACACCATTAAATTAGGCTTGAATAAAGACTGGGAGTGGATGGGTCATTACACAAAGTAAAAACTATTTCCCCAGGCTAATTTTTCCCCTACTGTTTTAAATGGGCCATCCTGATTATCACTACAAACGTTTTTTTTTCTTCTGCTGATAATAGCCCACCTTAATTGATTAGTCTCGTTGGAGTTGGTATGGCAACACCCATTTTTTCATGTTCTCTGTGTATATATATATCTTCCTACTGTATTTTCTACTCCATGCATCTGATGAAGTGGGTTTTAGCCCACGAAAGCTTATGCCCAAATAAATTTGTTAGGCTCTAAGGTGCCACAAGTACTCCTTGTTCTTTTTGCTGATTCAGACTAACACGCTACCACTCTGAAACCTCTAAACCTCATGTAACCGTGAGAATCACTGCTGGCACTGCAGGCATGGCAGTAGCAGCACTTGTCGATACTCCATGCAAACCTGACAGCGACCTAACAAAATCTGTAAGTTAAAGGGAAATACATTTAAAATCCATAAAAGGAAATGCTCCTTTTTGCAGCATTATAGTCATACTGTGATAGGAAGTTATCTAAATTGTGTGGCTGAATTTGCAAGAGCATTGGATACTTTTATGTTCATTAATAACATTTGTAGTTATGCAGTCTAAGACCAGGATAATAGTAATCAACTTCCAGGTTAAAATAATTGCCTGTGAAGGTCAGAAAGGAATTCTGTTTCCAACCCATCCATGCACAGCCTAATACATAGCTGGGTGCAATACGGTGAGGAGGTTGTCACTTTCCTTTGGAGTGCCACAGAGTGGCTGCTGCAGAAAAGTAAATAACATGTTAGGTGGAGCAATATTTTGATCCAACTCATTAAAGGGTTGCAGACCATTCAGCGCGGAACATGAGTTGTCCATAGATACATTAATATAGACAAGACACCAGGAAAATAAAGCAAAGAAATATGCAACATTTCTCAGAAAAGCCATGGAGGATGGTTGAAGATAAAAAACAAAATAGGATAAATTCTCAGACTAGTTGATAAGTGAATTACAAACACTGGATATGTGGACATTCTTTGGAATTGACAAAGGATAGGGTTTTTTCATGACTAATCAGATGGAAGTTTGGGGGTTTAAGAATAAAAGTCAAAGTATTTCAAATGTTTTAAGTTGTTTTATTTGGACTTATAAATGGGTCCACCAAAAATCCAATACTAACCATTAGGCTACCATTTGGGATTTGGGATTATCTGCTATGCTAAATGTTTAGGGCTAACAGCTCCAGACCTGCAAGCACTGAGGGATGAATGGCTGTTACCAGTTTTTAAGTTCCAAGTCCATATACGGAATAAATCTGATGACTGGAAGTGAGTTATGCAACGGATTAAACACACAGTCTTATTGGGAGAACAAAGGTTTACAAAGAAGAAACCCTTATCTCCAAAGCTTCAGTGAAACACTTAAAGCAAAATCATTTTGTTCTAGTGAAAAACAAAACAAAACACTTTATATACTCTACATGAAAATTTTGAAAGAGAAGGGGAAAAAGTGGTGAGAGGGAGGATTTTAGCACTTAGTGAAATTGTGGACTGAAAGGAGTCTTAAGTTTAAAAGTCAAATTCAGCAGAGCACTTAAGCATGAATTTCACTTTATCATGATTAAATCTGAGTTTTGAGCATGTGTTTACAGTTAAGCATGTGTTTAAATGCCTTTCTGAATCAGGGCCAAAAAGATTTATGTTAATACTTTATTTCCATAATCAAGGTCAGATAACTATTATCAGGAAACATAATAAGCCCTCTACTTGTATAAAGATATATTTTATCTCACATTAATATTTGTAAAATGAAAACGTAAAATGGTTCTTGTTGGCCTACACATGTCAGCAGGTCCTCTCTAAAGAATGGGCACCATAAGTGTGGCCATTTGGGTTCATGAGAAGGAAGCAGAGGTGGCAACTCATGAGGAAAGAAGGGAGAAATAAATACTGGATATTGGATGGAGGGGAATGCTACCATAAAAAGGTGGTGGGGAAGCTATATGTAAGAACTTAGGGCCTGAGCCTCCATTCCTTGTCCAATCAACTCTCCTCAGTTATTTCAATGGAAGCTTTGAGTGGGCAAGGAACGCAGGATCAGACCTCTAACTTATGTAAGTATATTAGGCCTGATTCATCATTGTGTCACCCCAGTTTTGACACTGGTGTAGCTCTATTGATTTCAGTGGAGTCACATTGGCATGAAACTGGAATGCTAGATGCATCAGTGAATCAGGGCCATTGTTTCTTTATAATGTACATTAAGGCAAAATATTTCACATCCCCCGCTGAATTTAGGTAATAGCGATTAGAAACCTTGGGATGAAATCCTGGCCCCAATTCAATCCGGAGGAGCTTTGCTTTTGACTTCCCTGGGGCCAGGATTTCACCCCGTGTCTGAAAAGAGCACACAGTTACTATATCATTATTTGAAATATGTAACTAAAAGTGTTAATGTTTTCTTACCAAGAGGTGGTCCATGTGTTATAAGAATATCTATTCCATCTGGAATAAGGTTCCATTTCTCTAATAGTGCTTGGCCTCGTGGAAGATTAAAGCCCCAGCCATAAAACCAAGGTTGCCTGCCAAAAGAGGAGGAGAATGTCTTCAATGCTACTCATATGCATTGGTCATCTAATTAAAAAATGGAGACTGATTCTCTTCTGTTAAGGAATTTGGAGACACAAATAGCATTAGTTTCCTTCCCCCTACGTACAATGACACCATATCTGCATCCAACCGTCATTATTTAATGTGCGGGAATCAACAAGCTTATCCGCTTAAATATACAGTCTATTGTAAAATATTTATTGCATTCTTCTAATTGGTTTGAGAGGCAACAACTGTAGGAGTTGAAGTACCCTACATAGTGCTATACCTGGAGTTCCATTATATCTATTGGACCACCACTCTGAAGTGTGTGTGCGTATTACATTATAGCATGGCCTTCTTTCCACTTTGGCCCTGATCTTACAATTGAATGGGCATGGGCAGAACCCTGCACACATACAGATCCAATTACGGGCTTGGGGCCATAATCCATATTATGTTTGGTTAACACTGGAAGCATCACACCAGAACAAACGTTTATTAAATTCATATATACTGTACAATTTTCCTCTGTCATCCACCACATTAATTGTTTATAAAATAAAATTTTACATATTCAAGATTTAGTATCTGATGAGAATTTATTTTAGGGTTGTTGTTTTTTTCAACACATTATTTATGGAATAGCTCATTATTAAGTGGTGGGATTATAATAAAGGCAGTCAGAATATAATTCATTTTTTTATGCAATCCCGTTGATTAAAAAGCTATATTTCATAGTAATATCACTGTGGCAGATTATGACTTGCTGATGATGCTACAAGTCATGAAATGTGGGGCTAGTTTTGGGTTGCCTTTTTTTTTTTTTTGACAGACTGACTGGTGTTCTGGGCATATCCATATATGGAGAACAACAAATGGGCTGCTGTGATTTAATAAGGTTTATGATAATTGCAGCCTTAGTGTTTATAAATATGTACACATCAACCAGAGTTCTCCTTCAGATCTTACTTTGTGGAAGAAAGCTTTCCACTCCCTCACGGCATCCAAATGAAAAAGCGAGATTTCTTTTAAACAAATTCTCTGAACTACTCTTTGCATCATGTATGGCAAAGACAAAAGAGAATGCTCATGAAGCTATTATTCTTCCTCTTCTGATACTGATGCTTGACTACCACTTCAGAAATTAACACGTTGTCTGCAATCTTCGTGATCATCTATTTTTCACATCTCCTTTCGGAATGCTGTTAGACATGTGTACGCTGAAAATAACTGAAAAACACTGCATACTAAGAGAAATAAAGGAACACAGGCTATCCTAGAAGGGGAATCAAACTGTAGTAGAAGAGCCCTCTAACAAGCAGAGCTTCTGCGGGAAGTTCCCCCTCCTTCCCATAGGTTAGAGGCCCAATTTCTCTAGAGCCCAAGTGTTGGGTCTCTGCAGTACTGGTTGAGGGTGGTGTCAAGCTAAGAGTCCATATCATGATTCTGCATGGCCCGTTCTCCTGGCTAACTGTTAGCCTTCTGTGTGAAAACCTAACTGGAAGTTACTACTGTTGCAGCTGTGACCACCAATATCTCTCTCTTGGATCATTCCAGTCCCTGTGGTGGGAGACAAAGAGGGTGAGTGCAGGAAAGAAAACTAATGGCAGCAAGGCTCCATTAGGAGACATGCTGACAAGGGTAGGGGTTGGCTGGGCAGCTCTACCTACCAAAGGGAGAATCAGGGATAGAACAGTGAGTTTCAGATCAGAGTTTTTTGATAAGCTTTTACCTTTCAGTGACTTTTTCCTTATGGGGTGCTCTCCCACCAGGAAGAGTAGCATGTGGCTCTAAGGTACATGGTTCCTCACCTTCCCACTGCTGGGATGGGAACTCTGCATCTATTCACTGGCTTATTCTGCAATAAGCTAGCAGTGATCTCTGCAGCCTTATTTACAGGTAAATACCGATTTGGCTGTCTTATATTAAGTCACTCTCTCCCTTGCCTTGCCGCCAGCCTGCATAGTTCCTCCAACTGTGAGAAGACTGGAGTCAACTGCCTCTATAAATGAAGGCAGTCTCATTTATCCAGAGAGAAGAAGGATGCTCCAGTGGTTCGGATACTAACTAGAATCCCAGGTTTAAATCCCTGCTCTGGAACAGATTTCCTGTGTGAACTTGGTGAAGATAATAAAGATAAGTTCCCTACCTCACAGAAGTGTTGTGAGGATAAATATAATAAGGATTGTGAGCTGCTCAGCTGTTACAGTAATAGAGACTGTATAAGTACCATAGAGTTCTTACAGAGTTTTGGCCTGTTTCTTTGAAAAAAAAACAAGGCTGCAGCCCAAGTCACAAATGCCAATGGCCTTCCTTCACTAGCGCCACAAAAGAAATCCTAAGATGGCTGGTATTCTGGTCTCACACTCAACAAATTTTATTTAGTCAACAAATAATGTTTAGCCGCAGGCCCAAAATTAGTTTTCCACAAATATTCTTATGAACAAAACTTCACTTGCAAAAAGCGAATACGAAAAAAGGGGGAAATGTGACAATTAACACTTCCGTTTCCAACTGACCTGAAATGTTCCCGAGACATTTTTCTCCCACCCCTCCTCATCCAGGCCCTAACCAATACCAATGGAGTTAGTGGGAGTCAGTGGGCACTAGATCAGGCCTTCTATTCCCATGCTCTACAGAGATCATCAATGATTGTGGTGCACAAACAGGAAGCAAAATGTAACACAGCTGCTGTGCTCCCTGAGAAACAAATGGAGAGAAAAACACCAATATTTGCCAAAGAGAAAAAGTAAGAAATCAGTATAGAAAAAATAATTATTTTAAAGATACATTGGAGCATTAAAAAAAAAAAAAAGAACGAATCTCAACTGTCAAAGAACTTGACAGTGTCTAGTTGATTCCACTGAAATCCATAGGCTTATGGATCACATATATATACATGTAAAATCCTAGTGGTTTGCCTGCCTCTGTTAGGCCCATTATATACTTTTTTTAAGTGTGTTTCTCTTTCTGAATAGGCATGTTCTGCAGCTTATTTAGACAAGGAATATTGTCCCCCTTTCCTCTCTCGCTTTGTGCCTGCACTGCATATTTGCTTGAGTTAGGGTTTGGTGAGTTATGCATGCTGGAGCTGTTCTTTTGTGACTAGGAAATGTTAGAACTTGTGTGATTTGCCATTATGCTGTCTTTTATGACAATCCCAGGAATGACAGAAATGTCTGGAATATTCTGGCTAAAATCTGAAAGGATTCAGTGCATAATGTCAGTATTCTTTATATTAAATAAATTCATACACTTCAATGCCCAAACCACACAAAAGTAAAATCATTTTTATGTGCAGAGGGATTTTATCCCTCAAGTCTCTTCTTGTGAAATGTTATTACAAAACAGCCATCAAAGTTTCTGTGCAGGAAAAAAAAATCTACCCATATACACACGAACAACTGTCTGACCTGGAAATCATGTAAAGACAACTTTGTCTAATATTTCCATCCATCATAGAATGTGGAAGCAAAGTTACAGAGTTAAGATCTGATGCCTTTTTGGATCGCTTTTCTTAGTGTTTACTCAGTGAAAGTATAACTCTTTTATAAACTAGTTCACATAACTATCTATTTTATATTAATATACTTAGGGAGAATAATCTGCTGGTTCTAGAAAAGAAAGGTGCAAAAAATGTATTTGGCAATTAAACACCTATACCATTAATGTACTTCATGTTAGGAGCCAAGTACCCATGATTAACAGTGTACTTTGATTTAGGTTTTGCCTTCTTATAGCAAACAGCTATATCTTATTGAAATTCAGTGCTTTTATTATTATGACAGAAAAATGACTGACTACATATAAGGCTGTAGGGAGAAAAGTATATTGCAAGTAAATATGTTTATTGCACAATTAAGCTTGTGTTAAAAACACATGAACAAGTTTTACAGGTCAACTCATCTTACGTACAAAAATGCCTGGATTCTCAAAATTTGTGCTAGCAATCGGATGTTGCTTTCTATACTGAATTTCTGTCTTTCTGTTCTAAAGAAACCATTGGAATAATTTTCTTACAGAATGATGGTTGCTATGACAACCATAGCAAATTTTCCTTTTCTGAAACAGATGTCTCATTTAGTTGAAAATTAGAATGTGAAAAACCCATGGGAAAAATTAATTCAAACTTTAACAGAACACTGACTACAATGTAATCTCTTATAGGTTAACCCCTTAACATCTTTCTGCACTCCTATAGTAACCTTCAAATAAACTCTAATTAAACCATTTTAACCTCCTATAAATGACCTTCTTAGCTATCACTGGCACTTTAGTTTTCTTTGAAGTGTGCATTTCTGTTACCCATAATAACAGAGAAAAGTGGCATTAAAAAAGTGGTCAAACACATTACTCCCTTAACTATTTATCACTGTTTGTTCTTTTATTCAACCACCATTGGAAAGAGGAACAGTGCAGTTTGAGTGTTCTATTCTATTCTTCTGTCACTTAAATGGGGCATAACTTAGTTTTACATGTAATTTACTGTACAGGGCTGTGATTCATTACGTAAATCTGACCTGTAATTTATGTGAGAATTGAGGGTTTGTGTTCTTATACTGATACATCTCAAATTGCTTAGCAGATGTACTAATGGGTAAGGGATACACAAAAAGGGTACCGGAGTGGGCAAACCAAGCAATATATATGTATTCTCCTATCAGAAGAAGTGAGAGACTGAAATGTGTTTCTTTGTGGCTTTCATTTAACTGCTTAACTAGAAGGAACCATTACTACCTTCATCTACACTTACTAGCTGAACATAAAAACCGCGATCATTGCAGGTCAGTTACACATGCACATCTCCAGAATTAGTAAGCAATTAAAAAAACATTCCAATTTATTGCATGACCCCCCAACTCCTGGCGGTCTGGTACACTGAAAGAACTTGGGGACTGCAAATTTTACTGCAGTAGCTTAATCAAGAATGTGCAGTCAATTGAGCCTGATTCTGCGACTGTTAGTTACACCACTGGTCTCAATGACATCA